TATTTGAGCAATGCCTTGTTCTACTCTAGGGAACTCACCATTATCTTATAACCTTCAGTAGGATAACCAGAATTAACAGGTGTATAAGACCATGCAGTCACACTCACCACACACCCATGCAGTGAAAAGAGCTGTTACTAAGAGAAAAGGTTATTATAAGAATTATCCAAATCCTCTAGTGGGGAAATGATCTCCTTAGTTGGACACTAGGTCTTGAAGGGCAAAATCCATGCCTGTATGTTCTTGTGCTCCTCACTGCTGTCAGCACACAGCACAGGCTGAAATATATGTCTGAGCCATACTCTACATAGCTCCTTCATACAGCTCATATCCTAAACCTATTAACTCACAAAGTCTTATAGAGCTTTTCTAAAAATCCACAATACCAAAAAAGGTAAAGTAATAAGACAAACAAGACACCACAAAATACAAAACTGGTTAAAAGGTGATTTAAGAAAAACCTATTACAAACAAGGAAAGACTGGCAAGTGAAACAATAACTCCCAGGCTTGTTAGTTGTCTTAAGGCCCATCATCATCCTTAACAGACACTAAGAATCTCCCCTTCTCCCTGTGTTAGGACAGAATGCTGGATGGGGAGAATGAGACACAAAAGACAGAGATGTCACCTGAGTCAACAAAGGCTTTCACAGGATGTCCATTCACTTTGCAGTTAATATAAAGCATCACTACTTGGCCAAAACTTTCTGGAGCCTCTTCCATAGCTATTGTCATGTTTTCCTCAATGTTCTGTTGCCTGTAACAAACCAAAACCAGGTATTAAAACCATTCTTTCTCAAGAAGAAAACTCTGTTTCAAAGTCACAATGTTAAAAATATATTTTTACTTATCTTTTGCCCTAATTATAGCAGCTGAGTCATGGAAATTGGTGCTCTATCCTGAAACAAGCAGCTTATGAAGAAGGTAGCAAGATAAATAGTTGGCAGAAAATGTAACTGCATAAAAATCACCCTCATGTAAAACAATTATGTTCCCTTTACAAGCTCAGAAACAGGGAAATAAAATTTCTGGAGGCCACTGTCACAATTCTTTTTATTCTGCAGAACATCAGAATTTCGTGAATGTTCCAATTTCTGTTGTTGGTGGTGCTGTGGAGTTGGCTCTGACTCACTGTGATCCCATGTAGAACAGATATAAATGTAGCCTGGTCCTATGCCATCCTCACAAAGCTAGGAATGTTTCAGCCCATTGCGGCAGCCACTGTATCACTGGACAACGCTCTAATGTCATCCATAAGGTTTCATTTGGCTAATTTTTTCAGAAGTAGATTGCTAGGTCCTTCCTTCATCCTAAGTCCGTCTTAGGCTGGAAGCTCTGCTGCAATCTGTCCACTATGGGTGACTCTGTTGGTATTTGAAATAGCTCGTTGTGTTGCCATGATGCTCCAGTATTTCAAGTAACAGCAGGCTCCAGTTTTAACTGCAGATGTATTGAGTATGTGGGTACATTTCCTATGTCCAGTGCAGTAAGAATAGTTTGTAAACATAATACACAGATGCTTCAACTGCTTGTGTCTAATAGAAGGACATGTTCTTAATAAAGTCATGATGTGAAGGTAACTCCAATATACAGGTAATGAACGTGGGTACCAAAGTTAAGACTTGAATCTTGGCTTCACCACTTCTGTAGGACCTTTGGCAAATTACTTAACCTCTCTGTGCTTCATTTTACCCTATCCACATTCAAGTTTTTGTGAAGATATTAATACTTGTAAAGTTCTTAGGACAGTGTTGGGCACAGTAGTCAGTGATTAATGATAATTGCCTTTGTGATTAGTATTATGAGTTTTGAAGTCAAATGCACCTGCCGCTTAATCTCTAAGATTGGGTTTTCTACTCTGTAAATGAAGATAATTCCTATTACAGGGTTGGTGAGAGGCATAAAGCTCCTGGTATACAATGCTAACATAAGAGCAGATGCTAAAAAGTGCAGACATATAACTAACCATCTGCTTATCTATCATCTTCTATATGCACACACACATATTACAGTTCATTTGGTCCATCAAAAAAATTGCTTCAAAAATTCAACATATTCTAATTCTTCTGTAACCAAAAGTGTATAAAAGGGAGTTCTAGTGTACTCCAACATCTCACAGCTTCATTCACAATCTCCTTTTAACTATCCAATATCTCTAAGATGAAATACTACCTACACTAGTATGTGGGACATGGAAACTAAGGCAGGGGCTGGGCAACCTGCCTAAAAATTGAGGCAGTAACAGAACAGGGTCTAAGACATGGGGTAAACAACACTGTAAACCAGGGCAATTACAGGCCATCACCTCTTACTATAAATTAAGTGTTATGGGAACACAGGTATGCACATTTACTTATTGTCTACAGTGGCTTTTGTGCTACAATAGCAGAGTTGAGCACTAGCAACAGAGATCATATGGCCTGCAAGGCATAAAATATTTACCATCTGGCCTTTACGGAAAAGGTTTATAACTCCAGCTCTCAACTACAGTGCCTAGTCTTTTTGTAATAATATTCCAGTTCAATTAAATGGATGACTTTATTAGTCTTTCTGTAATAAAGTATTAAACTTCTCAGAAAGTCAAAGTCACACTCATTGAATTTAGTTACGTGAATACTCAAGCTATCATATCTCAGAGTATGTACATCTTGCATAATCACTGGTGTGGTGTACCAAATAAAACTTTGATGGGCATTTGATATAATCATACAGCTTTCCTCCAATGCCACAAGATGAACTTTAGAAATAACCTAAAATTAGTTGTGCAGCTCTGATCTTGTACTGACTCCAACCAAGATCAGTTTCAGCAGAAATTCTCTGAAATAACACCAGCTACTTTGACTATTCTGGGCTCTGTATGGAGTGTTTCTTCAGAGGCACAGGTTTTCTCTTTTAAAAGAAGGGATGATTTCCTCTCCTCCTGGGAAGAAGCATGAGCCATATGGATACACTCCATTTCACTTCTGTTCTTCCAGGAGCTCAGTATCAGGGTTTGGCTATGATCCTCACCACAACCCCCAGTGCTTCCTGGGCTGAAAACAACTATTCTTGAAAAGTATGTCCATTTTCCAGTGTGCATATAATGTGGTCCACAACAGAGAACCCAAATGTGTTCCTATCTCTCTAGGTAGATGTAACAGGTTCCCAAAGATATACCTGATATAGTCAATGGGAACACTTACGCAACAGGAACAGAAGTGAATGGCTGAGGGCTGTCCAATGATTCTGGCATACAATTTATATTTCTCTGATTTCAAATGTAATCATAAAAATAAGAAATAAGAAAACCATTATTTGACTTCCCCAGTTGATACTGTAATAAAGTGACCAAGTTAGGCTTCAATAAAGATGATGACATAGCCCATAAAAGGCTACTCAAGCTAAAAGTAGTATCAGCATAGTTATGTTCTTGTTATACTAAGACCTTCACAATTAGCCACAAAAACTGAATCAAAGAGAGTGGGGAGCAGTTATTCTTTTAGTCAAAGAAAACGACTGAACAAGGTATTGTCTGTGACCAATAAACCAATCAAGGCTGGCAACAGTGTCATTTTATTTGCCTAGGCCCTAAAGCCTAAAGACTCTTGATTCATCAGATTACCTAGAGCCCAGGTATCTTAATGACCAAGTTTTAAAAAGCATCTCAAGTGATTTTAATGCAGCCCCAGTTGAGAACCACTGCTTACAGAATTGGAGCTAGAAATGCACGGCAGTCATTTTATCCTCTGGGGCCAGTACAAGAACTGCCGAAGGAAAACAGACTTAGGACTATGGGTACCATTCGTGCAGAGTTGTTTCTCAATCACGTTCAAGCCCTGAACTTAATCAAGACTCACACAATCTGTCTAAGGCAAGAGAATCATATCATCCTATGTAACCAGTCTATCAGTTTCACCAGATGGGGGCTTCAGCTCTCCCTGGAGTTGCTTCATGACACTCTCTCCTGTCTACAAGTCAGGGAGTCCCAATTTAAATTTCGGGAGAAGGGAGAGTCATCAAATCAGGTACCCATACTTTTCTAATTTTTCATGGAAATGCAAGGAAGATGAAAGGAGAGAATAACCTAAGACTGAAGCTACTATTCCAACTGCAAAATAGGGAAGCTACCTCAAAGCAGATTCCCAAAAATGGAAGATGACTTGTCATCTGGGAAATCTCGACTCTGAGTCCTGCTCTTCAGGTGAAGGTGTCCTTACCTTATATCTTCTTCTATCTTTGCCTGAGCTTCGAGATCAAAAGGGTCAGCAGAAAAGAGACGAATCCTTTCTTGCTCTCTCCGAGCTCGGTCCTGCTGCTGTTCCACCAGGACCCTAGAAAATTTCTCTGTGAAAATAAGGGAGGGGTGTATATCTAAGAGTTGCTTATCTAAGAATTGCTACATATTCATTCTTTATTAGTACTTTCACGCACCAAACAATTTCTCAAAAAGCAGCTAGAAGAGATGCAGAGAAGATCCCTTGTCAGCTCTACTATACACCTGTGAATTCAGATCATACAAATACACTTATAGGACCAATGTCTGTCAACCCTATACATGGTCTTGGGTAGGCATGTCAAAAGACAAGCAGGGTCTTGGGTACACTCCCCGTTTCACAGACATACCTACTAGTTCAGCCTGTCCACTCATATACCCATGTTTGCCTTCACTGACAATACAGTACTGTATGTGCAAAAGGGTTCATATGAACTACTATTACACACAACATGGGTCAATCTAAAAATCCACTCTATTCTATGGTAAGAACAGTATATTGTTTTCTCACTCAGAGAATAAATGCGTAACTTTCCCATTCTTGTAACACAAAGCATATATGAAGAATGTAAACCATCTTTGATTTTAGGTACCTGAATAGGGGATTGTCTCTCCTTTATCTCAAAAATAAGTAAATAAATAAAAACCCAAACAAAACAGTATGTTGGGTAAAAGAAGACTGACATACGAGTACACACTGTGAGTGTGTATAAGAGTACACTCTTATGAACGTCTGCAGGAAGTTCAAAATTTGGCAAAACTAATTTATATAATGTTCTGCCGAATATAAGAATGGCTCAAATATAGCTCCAAACAAACTGATGGCAATTGTTTTTGGTAATACCACCAATACCTGCAAATGGCTGAGAAGAAGGGGTTCTATTTTTCCATACAGGTTGATGGTACTGGACCTGTTTCCTACAACTAAAACATTTCAACTGACATCAGCTGGCTTATTGGTGTTCTCTTCATGAAGATCTGTCTAACTGCGGAGGTAAAAATAGAGCCTTAGCTCAGGTGACATAATGGTTAAAGCATTTGACTGCTAACCCACTAGCTGCTCCACGGGAGAAAGATAAGGCAATTTGCTTCCCTGAAGATTAACAGCCCTGGAAACCCTACGGGGCATCTCTACTCTGCCCCACAGGGTCACTATGAGTCAAAATCGACTCCATGGGGTTTGGGTTGTGTGCTGCTAAATAATTAGAAAAGAATGTAAATTAAGGGGGCTACCCTAGATGGATTTGAGGCTCTATGCAATCTTAAAATGCTATCGTTACTGCCAGTTAACTCAGCCTTTAACCCTATTTATCTCTCACAGACCAACTGATACGTTCAACAAATCATGTGACACAGTGGCTGGATACACCAGTTGTAGGAGTCTCTCCACATTTGTTGTGACACAACTATTTCACCACAGCTCAGGCTGACAGCCTTCCAAACTTTGAAGCTTACCAAGATCTCCACTGAGCAGAGCATCTGCCAGGGGTGGATTGCGTTCCTTCAGCAAGGACAGCTCATGGGGGTTGGCCAGCAACATGTCTCGGAGCAAGGCTGGATTGTCCAAGCCCTGAGGTGATGAAGCTATTTCTCCAGGAGATGAGTGGGGCTGCTGTGCTCCTGGTGGCTGGCGGTGCCTGGAGCTTGACGTGCCAGGCACAGCTATACTACTAAAGTCTATTCGGGGTAAGTCTGTTGGGAAAAATCAATTCAAAGTTTATTCCAAGTGACTCTATACAAGTAAACATCTGAAGGAAATGGAACATTTGCTCATATAAGAACCCATCGTGGTAATGGTAATCACAGACCACTATGCCTTTCCCACCACTTTTCTCACACTGACTTAGAACATAAAGACTACAGTCTATGAGAGTAAATTGTTAAGAACAGAGGGGGGTAAACAATGGTAGTAATCCCAAATTTTTGGCTTATAAAATATCCCAGAATATATATTAAGTTTTTATTTAATTAATTAATCTGTTTATTAAATTGAAGCTAAATCCAAACCCAATCATATGTCTGAATATGATTCTTGAGAATATGCTCTGACACCTTGGCTAAAGAATACTATCTGTATCAAATGAACAACATAGAAGTTGAACTCTCCAAGTCTGTGCTAAATATACTGCTTTGGTGAGGCTGTAATAGCACTTTGAATTTATGCTTTCATCTGTGCATCAATGCCAACTCTTCCCAGGCCTCTGGGAAGCTGGCTGGATATAATCAATTTATAAGAGAGAAAATAGAAGGAAAAGATTCTTAAGACTGACTACACCAAAAGATGTAACAGGTTTGTTGTTGTTATGTGCCATCAAGTCAGACCTGACTCATAGCAACTCCTCCTTGGGTTGCCGAGGCATTATCACTACGGAAGTAGATTGCCCCATCTTCCTTCCGAGAAGTGGCTGGTGGGCTTGAACCACCAGCCTTCTGGTTAGCAGTCAAGTGCCTTAGGCACTATGCTACCAGAGCTCCCATAACAGGTTTAGATTCTACAATTCCCAGGTTCTATATTCTAGGTTGAGCAGACTTTATTTTAATGAAAGAAGTGGTGTATTTGCATGTGCTGTCCACATAAATAGCACAGGGGGCAAAGTTATGATAACTTCTTAGTCACAGCTAACCGCTTTGAGGGAGTGAGTTGTTAGACCTGTGGCCTTGGGACCACAGTTGCGGGGGACGTCAAGCTCAATTAGCATAACATACAACACAAAAACACTGTTCTACATCCTACTCTGGTAAGTAGCAACTGGGGTCTTAAAAGCTTGCAAGTGGCCATCGAGATGCAACAGCTGGTCTCTCCTTGAACAGAGCAAAGAAGAATGAAGAAAACCAAAGAAACATGGAAACAATTAGTCCAAGGGACTAGTAGACCATGAAACCCTCACCCTGTATGACCATGAGACCAGATGAACTAGATGGTACCTGGCTACCATTGTCAACCACTCAGAAAGGGATCAGCACAGGAGATCCTGGATAGAGTGGGAGTAAAGTGTGGAACAAAACTCAAAATCATAAAAAAAAAATCAGGTTTACTGGTCTGATAGAGCCTGGTGAAAGCCCTCAACTAACTCTGTGAATACACTAAAACCCACTGAATTGTACCCTTTAAATAGGTGAATGTTAATGATATCTCAACAAAACTATTAAAGAAAAAGTTTTATTAACAAAGGAAGGAGGGGAGAGAGAGGGAAGTACAAGTGGGAATCAGAATGAGGGGTTAGGGCCTAAGTGAATCCACACTTCTCCAACCCACAAACCTTATCTGATGGTCACACTTACATCAAGTCGGGCTATCCTGAAGTCTTTTGGACTGCAAACAGAAGAGAACACTAAACTCAAGCACAAGGCTACTCGTCTCTTAGTATGTGTTCAATTAGCCACTTTCTTCAAACAGACTTTAACTAAAGTGTACGTATCATCAACTACCAACCAGTGAAAATGTGAAGTGAACGGCACCGCATCTCTGAGGTAATCTACATTGTTGTTGTGGGCTTTCGAGTTGATTCCAACTCATAATAACCCTCAATGACCAGAGCAGAACCCTCTATGACCTGTGTCTCTTACAGTTTTCCAGGCTGTAATCTTTATGACCAACTAGCAAAACATCAATGGGCAGGGCTTTCTTTGCGGGTTCAGAAATTTTATCTCTACCTGACATACGTTATCTTGAGAGTCCATTCACTTTATAATAATCTTTAAAAACATGTTTACCTTTATAGACCAAGCCCCCCCCCCCCATCTATTGGCTCTTCTGTCCAAATAAACTCAAAATCCACTGTCATTGAGTCGAAATAGGACAACAACAACACAGGGCCTCCCTAGAACTAACAATCTTGCTAAATTAAACAATAGAAGATGTGGTTAGCTAATTCTGCAAACTTTTACTTATTGGCATATTTTAGCTACTACTTTCTTTAAAGTTTAGCAGTAGCCCCAAGGGACTAATGTAATCCTGATCTGGTAGGGATGGTGCCTGATGGTCACTTATAGCTCCATTTTCAAGATGAATGGAGGCACTGTGTTATAAGCTGAAGTCAGTCATCACCCAGACACCTATTATCTATTACCATAAACTTAAAACCAAGTGACCTAGAGACTAAACACTGTTCAAAGAAATCAACCAGAATATGGTAAGGAGTGGAAAAAACCAAGTACATTTCATCAAGTAGTTTCACATCAGAAACTTAGAAGCTTTTTGTGGCTCAGGAGCCCCTCTGAGTATCTGAAGAAAGCTATGAACTCACTTTTCAAATACATGTGTGTACACATGCACACACTTCTGCTTATTATTTCAGGGACTTGACGACTTCCTAAATCTTAACGCACAGAATGCAGATTATGAACACTCATTCCAGACTGAATATCAAGATCGATAACAGTTTCTTATTCTATGATTAACATAGCTGGCAGAAGAACCAGAAATTGGTAGTTTAGTGGCTCTATGTTCATAAAGTTCAGCGTAATGGGGAAAACATCATGCTTTCATGTTTGTGCTTTCATTTATTAGCTATGTGTGGTAGTTAAGTTTGTATGTCAACTTGGCTAGGCCTCATTGAGTGGCCAGGGCAGCTGGATGTAGTTATTCCCCCCATGGTAAGATTGGTAATTAACTCCATGGTGGAATCTACTGGAGCAGCTGAGTAGCTGCTTTAGGGATGTGGTCTGCTTCCTGTATATAAGGAGAAGTCTTGGGGAATGATCTCTAGCTTATGGCATACCTGAACCCTGCATGTAGCTGAGTCGTTGTTCAGCAGACTGCCATGCTCTGCCGATCTTGGGACTTTTAATGGATTTGAATTAAAGGCCTGCCATGTGGTTTGGTAGTTATTGGGACTGTGCCTTATTACTTGTCAACCTTGGGCTTGTCAGCCTCAGCAGCCAGCAGCTGAGTGAAGAAAAGCCTCCAGCTTCAGCGGGCCAGGAGCAGGAGGCAAAGCTGAAGCCCAAGGTTGAGGGGCTTTCATCCAGCCCCTAGAGCCTGGCACTTTGAACTTGGACTTAAAACCTCCAAAATGTAAGAGAATAAACTCCTGTTTCTTCAAGCCATCCCATTTGTGGTATGTTCCTGTCAGAGTGGCACTAGGGAACCAGAACACTCTGTAACTTTGAAGACATCATTTACAACGTGAACTTCATCTGTAAATGGTAAAAAAAAAAAACAAAAAAAAAAACCCTGTAAACCACAACAGAGGTATGAGATGACATGAAATGTGTGTACAAGTGCCTGGCAGACTGCCCCTGAAGGCCAAACACAGAGTAGCAAAAGTCAGTCCAGAATCAGAGGCATATGCAGCCTTTAAGTCCTTCCCAAGAATAAAGATTATTGTATAACTATCTGTGATAACAACAGAACCTAACATTTATTAAGGGCTTGCTATGTGCTGAAGGTCTTACTGCATTATTTTCATGACAACTCTAGTTAGGAGTTGAGTTCATTATGGCACCTATCTCAGTGAGGAGGAAACCAATTTAGAGGGGTTAAATAACTCGTCCAAAAGCAGGGTTAGGATCTGTGCCCCAGTGGTCTGAATATAAAGCCTTGCACTCTTGAATCACTCCGCTATGCTACCTACTGATGCTTGTGTTAACCAGTTAACTAAATGCCATCAAGTAGATTCCAACTCATGGAGACCCCATGTATGTCGGAGTAAAACTGTGCTCCACAGGGTTTTCATGGCTGTAACCTTTCAAAAACAGATTGCTGGGTCTGTCTCCTGAGATGCCTCTGGGTGGGTTCAAACCACCACCTTTCCCCCTTAGTAGCCCAGCACTTAACTGTCTGTACCACCTAGAGACTCCCGATGCTTATGTTAATAAACTTAAGTTAGTATTATGAGATCTCTTACTTGAAAATTGCACTGGAGGTCGAGGGTCTGCACTTTCCTTCTGTCGTAAAATCACAACGTCCCCATCTTTCAAGCCGTAAGAAGCCAATGATCTATGGTTGTCTGTGAGAGGTCTTTCAGCATAGACAATCTACAACAAGAAAAAGTTTAATAGCATAAAGCACTTAATAAGGGCATGGCATAAAGCAGAAAGACCACAACCTTTTTCTTAACCAGATGCTACTCCCTGCTCAAAACCATCCAAAGGTTTTCCATCACATCTAAAATAATAACCAAAGTCCTTCCTATCTCCTACTAGGGCCATAACACTTTAGCAGCTGGCCCCTTCTCCTATCTTATCTCACACCATGGTTGCTGTTCCTCAAATAACAAAGATCAGCTTTGCCCCTGAGATGTTTCACTTGCTCTTCTCACCTAACATACAATATGTATCTGCTTATTTGTCTTTCTGCCCCACTGAAAGCTAAGCTACCTAAGGCCAAGAACTTGTTTTCCTCACCACATCCCAAATGTCTAGAACGGGAAACGCTCAAATGTTTATTGAATTAAAGGATGAATGAATCTATGCAAGTAATGAATGTAATTTCAGGGTTAATTTTCAACAGGGAGGGAAACGGGAATGATTTACTTTGGGTTTGCTAACTACAGCAGCAGCAAATGTGTATACTTTAAAATGATCTTGTACACTAACCAAAAAACCCGTTACTCACTGCTTTCGAGTCGGATCCGACTCATAGCGACCTCTCTTGGGTTCCTGAGGTGGTATAACTATGGAAATAGATTGCCCAACCTTCCTTCCGAGGAGTGGCTGGTGGGTTTGAACTACTAGCCTTCTGGTTAGCAGTCAAATACCACCTTCCTGCACCTTTCTTCTTTTCTACCATCCTCAAAGTTTTATCATTCTTATGTTTATGAGTGGAAGATGAAAGTGGAAAAATATCAGAAAATAACAAACACAGATATTAAAAGAATCATTTTAATAATTAAAAGAATCATCTCCACATTTCTTCTCATAAAAAAAAAAATCAAGGATGCACTACTAACAAAAGTACCTTTATTATGTATAATCAAAACACTGAAGAAAAACCTAGAACATAAAAACTGATGAAACAATGTATTGTGGAAAGAAAAGAAACATACAAGATATGCTATAATTTTACTATCAAGGAATAAAAAAAACGAGCCCTGCATCCTCATGTACTCCAGAGGTGCATTCAGAATTGACCTCATGCTTTGAAAGGTTTTCTTCTTTACAATTTGCTTTGTGGGGTACAGAACATTGGATGACCACATGCTAACTGAGGAACCTGAGCTCCGTCCTGGCTCTGCCAATAACTCACTCACATGGGACCTGTCACTCAGCTGGTCCAGGCCTCACATTTACCATTTGTCAAACAAGCAACTGGAGCTAGATAATCATTACAGCTGTCCCTTCCAGTTCTTTCTGCTAGACTACTGTACTACAATGTCTCCTCATGGATCTTCATAGCAAGGGTACCTGACACAGAACCTGAAAACAAAGCATCAAAACTGGAAAAGAAGTGATTCAGAACTTCTGCTAGCATGAGGAAAAAAATTAACAGGAATGTGAATTTAGTTCCCTCCAAAATTAAATTCTTACAGAGAAGAGCAAAAAACTGATTTGCAGAGATTATAGGTCCAATTATATTTTACAAAATTCTATGCGTAACTAAGGAGTCCTAGTTGCACAGTGGTTAATGTGCTTGGCTGCTCATCCAAAGGTCGGTGGCTGAACTCAGTGAGAGAAAGACGCCTTGGAAACCCTATGGTGGGTGTAGTTCTACCCTGTACTATAGGGTTGCTGTGAGTAGGAATTGACTCAGTGGCAAAGGGCTTGGGTCTTTTGGTTTGATATGTAACAAAGTATTAGTTCTCATCCTCAACTTGCAAAGTTAAAAAACATTAGACTGCAACTGTCACTCTAGCATCCCATTCACACTCTCTTATTTAAACACATACCTCATAGTAAAACAACATCATAATCAAAGCAAATTGTTTGCAACGCAACCCAATAGAGTCTTATAACTTGAGAGAGTTTGGGGATAAAACAAAACAATAACAACATAAATCTGAATGGCAAGGGTCACAGGTTGAGATGTGGAGCAAGAAGGAGGAGGCATGCCAAGAGAAACACCATGCAGGCAGGCTCTTAACAGTTGGCATCAACATTATGAAGTCACCAGAATGAAGTCACCAATATGCCAAGACCTCCTTAATTTTCCAGGTTCAGAAATTCAATTATCAGTACATTTAGAGACAGATGGTCAGTCTCCTAAGGCAGTGACAGATTCTAACTGTACTTATCAGAGAATACCTACTTATTTATTTACATTGAGGAATTAAATTTTGGGCACTGGACTGTTCCTTTCTTCAATACTACTGAACTCTCCCCATATAGAAAATGCTACATGGAAAGTCAAATTAAAATAGCAGCTACCATTAAATGAGCTTCTACTAAAAGCCAGCATCAAACTAGGTTCTCACAGTCTCCCAGTTAATCACCATATCCTCTTACTTAAGTCTCACAATTATTTGCTCCCTTTTATGAACAGGGAACCAAAACATAGAAAGTTAAGTGACCTGAGGCCACACAGCTATTAAGAAGATAGCTGGGACTGAAATCACATCTGCCTGACTTTAAAGCTCATAATCTTCACAAATACCATATACAATTTCCCAAAACATAACCCCAAAGTGGCCCACTGAACTGAGTGATTCCAATGACAGCTGTTGAGCCATCTATGGCCACCAAGTGATGTCCAATGCTCAATGCACTCTCCGCCCTCGACATAAAGAGGGGACCACCACCTACAACTCGCTCTTTGGAGTCCCATTTTACAGATGCCATATTGTCACTCAATCACTGCTCAGTTATGATATTTCCTCATCAATCAATCTTATTTGAAAGGAAGGCAGTGCAATGTAACAATAAAAATGTAAGATCCAGTTAATCAGTAAGTCAAGCATGTATCTAAAATGTGGAATACTGCTATCTGTGCCTCTGTGTCCTAGAAACACTGGAGAATGTGGAGGAAGAGCAAACATTCTCCACACTGATACAGCAGTAGGTGTATTCCATTTTAGTCCAAGATACATGAAAGACTGGCTGAAATTATAATCACCATAAAGTAATTTCATTAGAATGGGTTTAGAGTCTAAGAAAGACAACTATTTGACAGTGTTTAAGTTCCAGAATAAATGTGTGATCATTTTCCAGTTTAACATGACTATCTATTAGATGAATGGTTTCAAATTTCTACCAGTCAAAACAAAAGTTTTGGAGAAAGCATTCCAGACACAAAGGTGATGCTTTTCACTGTTCATGTTACCCAATTCAAAGCTTCTACCACTCAAAAGTCAAGTTTTGCCACAATAAGAACTTGCAAAAGGAGAATTTATACAGCTAAAAGTCTTAATCTGCAGAACTGGCACATTGCTAGTACTTAACTCCAGAGGAGACACCCTAGAGAGTGAATTCTAACCTTAATCAACATTTTAAATAGCCTAATAAATAAACCCCCAACCTATAAACATGATGTCAAATGTGTTCTGGTCTCTGGATCAGCGTCTTCAATTAACAGGAATCTTGATGCATTTCTAGCATTAGAACCATAAGCTGGCCTTTGAAGTCACATCCAGAAAGCTGTGTATCTACCATTAACTGAGTGCACACTACAAGCCAAACACTTTACATGTATCATTTCATGCAACAGTCAGGCTGACTTTTATAATCATGGAAAGCAATTTTGTAGTATCTACTAAAGTCTTCCAAAAAGTTTATACCTTTGTGGTGTGATGAATCACTTTTATATGGCCTTTCTTGGCATGGTCTTGTGACCCCTACAAAATGAGTGGGAGAAACTATGCAAATAAGGTGCTTGTGGCCCACCAAGGGGACTGGATAACTTGCTAATAATGCAAATAAGGTGCATGGAATCCTAATGAGGGAATTGGTCAAATTTGCCAACTAGGCTTAAAAGAGAGCCAATCCCAGAGCACAGATGGGACATCACTACCACCAAGAAAGAAGAGCCAGGAGTAGAGTGTGTCTTTTGGACCCAGGGCCCCTGAGCTGAGAGCCTCCTAGACCCAGGAGCTGTTAACACTAGAGACAGCAGGCAACAGCAAGAACTGGTGGCAGAGAAACAGTGGTAGATGGCACAGTGGGCTTCCAGGCCCACGGAGCAAGATGGCTACAGTGGGTATGTCAACCCATGGAGTGAGATAGCTGAGCATTACTGGGCACTTACTGGCAGGGTAAAAGAGCTCTGCAACAACTTGCCTAAGTAGGGCTAAGGTGAGGTCAAGAGGATAGAGGCCTGAGAAAGGCCTGCCTGGAGGCATGGCTGAGAAGCTGTCCTAATCAAAGAACCATATCCTGAGTTGGCTGAGAAGCTGTCCTGATCAAAGAACTATATTCTGAGTTGTTTCTGATCTTAAATTGGAACCTATAAACTTCATTAGCACGAGTATTATCTCGACAGCAGGTTTTTTTTTTTTTTTTCTTTTTTTAAATCTTTGAGTTCTGTGCAGCCACTGTAATCAATTATCAAACCCAGGAGGGAAGTAAAGAGTGCCATGGGAGGGAAGGCTGCTGTCAGAACTGGTGAAAAGTTGGAGGGTGGAAGTATGTTTGATCTCCAACTCACAGGAATGAGCCTTGGGGTCATGTTCATCTTGATTCTCTCCTTTCCCTTGTATAGTCAGATAAAGAGGTCTGATACCATCACATCATGCCATTTTTATAACTTTTGACCTGGTAATTCATATCTAAGCACTTATCTGGAGAAAACAACCAGAAATGGGGACAAAGACTTAAGTCTAGGGATATCCATAGCAATGTTACTCATAATCGCTTCCAATTTTCTCCAATTCAAATGCTCCAAAATAGGAAAATCATTAAATAAACCATACATCATCTATGATGGAATATTATGTAACCATTAAAAATGATAAATTTGAAGAATTTGAAATGTTATCAGAAAATTTAGTGTTGACAGAGAAAATAAGATATGAAATACAGTTCTAGCTCCATTATGTTTAAAAGATACATTAATTATATAAAGGAAGAAAACTTTAAAAATACACTAAAAAGTAAACTGCCATTATCTCTGGGTTATAAGTCAATAAATTAGTATGTTCTTCTTTACATTTTTCCCTATGTTATTATGGCCAAAAGAATGAACATAATCCATCTTGGAAGAAGTACAACCAGAATACTACTTACAAGAGAGGATGGCGAGACTTTATCTCACATACTTTGGACATGTTATCAGGAGGGACCAGTCTCTGGAGAAGAACATTGTGCTTGGGAAAGGGTCAGTGAAAAAGAGATGGACTGATAGAGTGGCTGCAAGGATGAGCGCAAGCATAGCAAGGATTGTGAGGGTGGCACAGTACAGAACAGTGTCTCATTCTGTTGTACACAGAGTAGCTAGCAGTTGGAATCAACTCAAATAACAACATATGTTACAAGTTTTCTATAATGAATATGTAGCGACTCCACGGCACATAACAACAACAACAACAACAGTGTTTTTTCAGGTAAAACCAATTGCTAGAAAAGGGCGTGATGATTGGTAAAGTAGAAGGCAATCAAAAAAGAGGGAAACCCTCAATGAGATAGACACACTAGCCAAAACAATGGACTCAAACATATCAATGATCATCAAGATGGCACAAGACAGGGTAGCATTTTGTTCCGTTATACATTAAGGTTGCTACGAGTCTGAGCCTACTCAACGGCAACTAACAGTATCAGGGGGGAAAATACATAAAAATTTTCTATAAAAATAAACATGGTTAAAACTAGCTACAATCAAAATGTCAGTTTCCATTGATTTAAAACTGTGTTTCACAAACCACAAATCATTCTGTGAGCAGAGCTGTGTTTCCAGAGTCATACTACTGAAATGATCTATTATTTGGCACTTAGATAAGACTTTCACTTGAGGGTCCTTACATATTCCACACACATTTCACCACATGCCACTTACAGAAGTAAATTATAATGTGTTTCAAAAAACATGAAGACAAATTTAAAGTGACGCTAAGTTCTGATAATTGTTTTAAGTTCACCCAGCCACATCTGCATCAAAGCATCAAACAGAGCTAGAACTGGCTTCCAAGCCCACACTTGTATTAAGAGATGGAATATGCCCAGCTTTAATCACATGGACAGGTAGAGATGGTTTCTATTCTAAATTTGTTATCATGCTCTACATTGCACTGTAACTGCTATAATCAGACTAGAGCTGTTAAAAATTACCACCTTTCCCAAGTGTATGCTTATGCACATTTCATGCTGATGTGAAAGACTGGATTCTAAACTAGTGATCCCCAATGTGGGGCAGGCATGCAAGATAATTCTTGAAGGGTATAGGAAAACATAAAACAGAATTTTCATTTTCATGTATATTATTTCATCCTTCATTAAGTACTATTTTGTGCTTTTTTATGATGTACATAATGTATTAATTCAAGTATGTAATGTGATCCATGTATACAGTGTATTATATACATGTTTTATATATGCATATATAGTACATAACACCTTCGTTCCTAACATGGATGCACGTTCAAAACCATTTTACTGATAGGGATAAATGACCAAAAAGTCTGCAGACCAGTGGTCTGGACACACGATGGCAGGAAAAAACAGCCCAAAACACAGAAAACATATATTTTCTCTTGAAGAAAGGGGATCAGAAAAAGGAGGTGAAAGAATGAGAAGAGAGAAGGTAAATGAGAGAAGTGAGGTAAAGCCACCAGAAGAACCATGAGAGGAAGGGAAGATGAGTAACATGGGAGGAACCCTGGGAGGTAGCAGCAGCAAAGGGAGGGACTCAAGTAGGCAAAGAATGTATTTGTGGGTTAAAAACTATAATGATGTTTACTATTATGATTTGATGAAAGGAAATGACTCAAGTGCCTAGGGCGGATCCTGTTCCTGCCTGATGGGCAAGCAAGTGAAAGACTATGGGACCACCAGATATCTTAAAATAGATACTGTGTTGTCAGGTGGTTACAATGGAGCCAACAGAACAAACTTGAAAAACAGTAGCTGTTTACAGCTGTGCAATACAGGCTTAACACTAGTGGGAGCCCACGTTGCTATAAGTTAACATGGCTTGTGAAGGAATACAGGCTTAACACTAGTGGGAGCCCAGGTTTCTATAAACTAACATGGCTTGTGAAGGAAGTAAATGCCAAAACATCGACATAATGAACAGGAAAGAATTTGAAGTTAGTGTAATTGTTCAATTATTAAGGTCTTTCTAACCTCAGAACCAGCAGATGACAGTGCCTGTCTCGACCAAACAGTTAACTTGTGTTTCAATATGACACCACTTTTAACTTAAAACAATTTTTTACAACCATCTCAAAAAATGCCAGAACAGAAACACTCTGACTCTTCCTCCTTTCCCAAGGCCTAATAACAACAAAATCTATTTACATTTTAATTTTTTATTTCCCCTACCAGGGTAATGTAACAGCTTAAACTAAAACCAAACCCACTGCCATGAAGTAGATTCTGACTCATACTGACCCCACAGGACAGAGCAGAACTGCCCCTTAGGGTTTCCAAGGCTGTAAATCTTTCCAGAAGCAGACTGCTGGTCTTTACCCCGCAGAGTGGCTGGTGGTTGTGAAGGGTCAATCTTTTGGTTACCGACCAAATGCCTTAACCACTGTACCACCAGAGCTCCTTCATTTAACAGCTATGGGAAGAAAACAAGTAAAAAGGCCACTTGTAAATATTTAAGACTTCATTTTCCCTCTCTATTTAAAACTGTTCTTTTCAAGTTTTCCACATGAGGAATTCATAGACAGGAACTGGTTCCTGAGTTTTTATGGATTAACTTTTTACAGAAGTTGCAAAAAAAATTCCTTTTTACCAATTTCTTTGATGCTTTTGCCAGACTGTGCATTTGTGTGGCACTTTGCTACCTGAAATAAATTTCTTTCTTGGTATTCAGGTTCTAAAGTTCACATAATGTGAAGGAATCATACTCACATGTGAACAAAATAGTGACACACTTATTTACCATAACACAGGACAGAACCAGCTGTAGTGGGACGATGGTTTTTGGAACTATTTCGTAATTGCAGAAGGAAATCAAGATTCACATTTTGGAGCCTCAGAAGACCACTAATATTCTTAAATATTGAGGCTATGTCCTTCCAATTTTCAGTTATCAAATCAGGATTTAAGTGTTTCAGTGTGAAGGCCACAAAGTTGTCATCAATTCTTCATTTTGAGAATTACTTAAAAATTAAGAGGTGGTGAACTTCCTTCCAGCAGAGCAAGGAAATGAAACAACCAAATTACACAAAGAAGAAAATACTAGATTATTTTCATGCAAATACCCTTGTAGAGCACTTAAAGAAATAGAATTTTGGCCTACTATTAGGGAGGAAAAGAGAACAAACAGATTGAGTTGAACCAGTAAACTTTTTTTTTTTTTAGTAAGAACAGAACCAGAAACACATGTGGTAAGGAAAAGTATTTCCAAAGACATCAAAAGCAGTCAGCTCAAGGCTCAAACTTTCCCTCTCACCTAAGGTGCAAATTTGTACATTTACAGGAAATTCCATATATCTCGCCTGGAACTCTCCCCAAAATAGCAAAGCAGATGAACATATATCTACCACGGTAATCCAAACTGGTATTTCTGGTTGGGGAAGCAGGATATACGAACCCTTGCAAACCCAGTGCTGCTTCTTAGGTCTACGACGACACCCCAGAGTCAGGGAGAAGGGGCGACAAACCAAAAGGTGAAGAGGGCCCTCCAACAGCCCTTTCGCCCCTCACGATGCCGTAGGTTTGTCTGCGGCCGGAGTCTCCGCTCTCCCCCCTCACACCTCACCTCATGCTCGAGGTGTGTTGGGGCACTACCGATTCCAGCTCCCTCCCGGATGCGGGGGCGGGTTGGAAATGACCATCCCTGTGCCACCCACCCCTTACCCCCGGCCCCATTCTCTATCAGTAGCAAAGGGAGGGCGTGAGGCCCCCAGGCAAGGAGTCTCCAGAGGGAGGCCCCATAGTTGCCCCGCGTACCTGGCTCTCGGCTGCGGGGATGCCGGACTCGAGCTCGCACAGCGCGCGGAAGTTGTGCAGCTCGAAGTCGGCGTCGACCTGGAGGGAAAAGGTCACCTCGGAGAGGTCCCTCCGCACACAGTACACTGTGAGCAGCATGGCCCGGGCACGACCCAACACGGCTCGGCCCGGCCTCGGCGCAGGGCGGAGGGGCGGTGGCGGCGGGGCCTGGCTGGTGTGGCGGGCGGACGGCGCGGGCTGCTAGCTCACCCGCTTGTCCGCTCTCTGGCTGTTTCTCTCCCTCACACACGCTCAAGTGACTCAGTCCCTCCCGCCCTCACTAGCAAGCACAGCCGCCACCAGCCGCCTGCGAGTCCGTGCGCCTATCTGCCGGCCAGCCTCCTACCGCTGCCGCCAAGCGCGCCGGCCGCCCGGCGCCCCGCCCCGCCGCAACGCAGCTGCCGTAAAGCCCGCCTTGTCCGCTGTGCGTTCGCGACGCAGTGGAGGGGCGGGACAGATGAGGGGAGGTGGAGTGATAGGGGAGGGTTGGAGGTGGAGGCGTGGGGAGGAGTTTAGGGAGGGAAGAAGGAGGAATGGCAAGAAAATGGGGAAGGAAGGAAAAGAATGCGGGAAAAGAGAAAGCTATTCATTGATCGGTTTAGTAACTGAAATCTATCCACAACCTTATTTTACTCATCCAACAGGCATTTATTAAGCTTCTTCTCTATCATGTGCCACCTCTCACTTGTCAGTTTGTCACACTCTCGGCTTGCGTAATGCTGAGGCTAGAAGCTATGCCACTGGTATTTTAAATACTAGCAGGGTTACCCGTGATAGACAGGTTTCAGCAGATCTTCCAGATTAGAACAGACTGGAAAGAAGGATAGAGCTATCCAATGCTGAGAAAATTGGGCACTGAAAGCTCTATGAATGGCAGTGAATCATTGTCTGATATAGTGATGGAAGATGAGCCCCTCAGATTGGAACGCACTCAAAGTAAAATTGGGGAAGAGCTGCCTCAAAGCAGAGTGACCCTTAATGGCATGGATGGAGGAAAGTTTTTGGATCTTCATTTGGGGATGTGGTACAACTCAAAATGAGAAGAAACAGCTGCAAACATACATTAATCAGAACATGGAATGTACAAAGAATGAATCTAGGAAATTAGATCTCAAAAATGAAATGGAACACATAAACAGTGATATCCTAGGCATTAATGAGCTGAAATGGACTGATACTGGCCATTTTGAATTGGATAATCACATGGTCTACTCTGCCAGAAATGACAAATTGAAGAGGAATGGTGTCATATTAATCATCAAAAAGAACATTTCAAGATCTATCCTGAAGTACAATACTGTCAGTGATAGGAAAATATCCATAGGCCTGCAAGGAAGACAAGTTGATATGATTATTATTCAAATTTATGCACCAACCACTGAAGCCAAAGATGAAGAAATAGAAAATTGTTACCAACTTCTGCAGTCTGAAATGGACCAAACATGCAATCAAGATGTATTGATAATTACTGGTGATTGGAATGCAAAGTTTGGAAACAAAAAAGTAATGGGGTGGTTGCAAAACATGGTGTTGGTGATAGAAATGATGCAGGAGATCACATGATAGAATTTTGCAAGACCAGTGACTTATTGATTGCAAGTACCTTTTTCAACAACATAAATGATAACTGTACTCATGGAACTACTGGATGGAACACACAGGAATCAAATAGCAACTATATTCTGTGGAAAAAGGTGATGGAAAATCTCAATATCTTCAGTCACAACAACATCAAGAGCTGATTATGGGACAGACCACAGACTTCCTCATATGCAAGTTCAAGTTGAAATTGAAGAAAACTAAAACAAGTCCATGAGAGCCAAAATATGACCTTGATTATAGGCCACCTAAATTTAGAGACCATCTAAAGAATAGATTTGATACATTGAACATCAATGACTGACAACTAGATGAGTTGTGGGATGACATTAAGAACATCATACATGAGGAAAGCAAAAGGTCATAAAAAAGACAGGAAAGGGAGAAAAGACAAAAAACGATGTCAGAGAGACTCTGAAAGTTGTTCTTGAATAGAGAGTAGCCAAAGCCAATGGAATAAATCTTGAAATAAAAGAGCTGAACAGAAGATTTAAAAGGGCAGCTCAAGATGACAAACCAGAAAAAAAAAAAAAAAAAAAAAATCAAACCCACTGCTATTAAGTCGATTCTGACTCATAGTGATCCCCATTGGGTTTCCAAGGCTGTAAATCTTTATGGAAGTAGATTGTCTCATCTTCCTTCGATGAGATAGCTGGTGGGTTTTGAACCTCTGGCCTTCTGGTTAGCAGCCAAATGCCTTACCCACTATACCATCAGTACTTGAGAAGACAAAGTAAGGTATTATAATGAAATGTGCAAATCTGGAGTTAGAACCAAAGGGAAGAACACGCTCAGCATTTCTGAAGCTGGAAGATCTGAAGAAAAAATCCAAGCCTTGAGTTGCAATATTGAAGGATCCTATGGGCAAAATATTGAATGATGGAGAAGCATTAAAAGAAGATGTCACTGCACCAAAAAGAACTAGTTGACATTCAGCCATTTCTGGAGGTGGTATTTGATCATGATGATATTGAAGGAAGAAGTCCAAACTGCACTGAAGGAATTTGCAAAAAAACAAGGCTCTAGAAATTGATGGACTATGCATTGTGATGTTTCAACAAAGAGATGCAGCCCTGCAGGCACTACTCATTTATGTCAAGAAATTTGGAAGAGAATTACCTAGTCAACTGACTGGAAGAGATCCCTATTTATGCTCATTCCAAAGAAAGGTGATCCAACATAATAACATAATGTGGAAACTATTGAGCAATATCCTTAATATCACATGTAAGTAAAATTATGCTGAAGATAATTAAAAAATGGTTGCATCAGTTTATTACCAGAGAACTTCCAGAAATTCAAGCCAGATTCAGAAGAGGGTGTGGGATGAGGGATATTATTGCTGATGTCAGTCAGATAGATCTTGACTGAAAGCAATGAATACCAGAAACATATTTAATGGTGTTTCATTGACTATGCAGTCATTCAACTGTGTGGACCATAACAAATTATGGATAACATTTGCTAAGAATGGGAATTCCAAAATACTTAATTGTGCTTATTAGGAATTTGTACATAGACCAAGAGGAAGTCATTCAAAAAGAACAAAAGGATATGGAATCATTTAAAATCAGGAAAGGTGTGTATCAGGGTGTATCCTTTCACCATACTTACTCAATCTGTATGCTGAGCAAATAATCCAAGAAGCTAGGCTATATGAAGAAGAACATGGCATCAAGATTGGAGGAAGATTCAATAACATCCTACAATATGCAGATGACACAACTTATGACTTGAAGCACTTACGGTTGAAGATTTCAAAGGCTCCAGGCTTCAGTAAGGATTACACCTCAACATAAAGAAAATGAAAATCCTGACAACTAGACTAATAAGCAATATCACAATAAATGGAGAAAAGATTGAAGTTGTCAAGGATTTCATTTTGCTTGGCTCCACAATCGATGCCCATGGAAGCAGCAGCAAGAAATTAGATGATGTATGGCACTGGGCAAATCTGCTGTAAAAGACCTCTTTAAGTGTTAAAGAACAAAGATGTCACTTTGAAAACCAATGTGCACCCAACCCAAGCTGTGGTATTTTCAATAGCCTCATATATGCATGTGAAAGCTGGCCAATGAATAAGGAAAAACTGATGCATTTGAATTGTGGTGTTGGTGCCGAATATTGAAAATACCATGGACTGCTCGAAAAACAAACAAATCTGTCTTAGAAGAACTCCAGCCAGAATGCTCCTTAGAAGCAAGAATGGCCAGCCTTTGTCTAACCTATTTTGGTCATGTTGTCAGAAGGGAATGGTCCCTAGAGAAGGATATCGACCTTGGTGAAGTAGATGGTCATGGAAAAAGGGGAAGACCCTTAACTAGATAGATTGACACAGTGGCTGTGATGCACTCAAGCATAGAAAATATTTGAGGATGGTGCAGAACTAGGCAGTGTTTCATTCTGTTTTACATAGGCTTGCTATGAGTTGGAGGTGACTGGAGCACACCTAACAACAACAACTATCATGTGCTGGACACAGAGGATACAAAAATGGATAAAAGTACAGTACCATGTCCTTAAGGAACTCAGTCTAATACATTCTAAAACATTTGTTTTGAGTAGAAATTGATGCTCATACATATTAATTTACTTTCTGTCACAGTAATATAGGGCTAAGACCTAAAATTACTTTGTCCACCCTACTGACCTGGTGAATTACTTAACAAAAAATTGGCCAGTGACACATGAATACCAGCAGAACATTGTCTGATACAGTGCTGGAAGACAGCCCCTCAAGTTGGAAGGCACTCAAAATATGACTTGGGAAGGGCTGCCTTCTCAAGGTAGACTCAAACTCACTGCCATTGAGTCAGATCCAACTCATAGCAACCCCGGAAGTTGTCAAAAATTAAAGGAAACAATTGAAGATTGATATCTTAGGCTTTAGTGAGCTGAAATGCACTGACTTTGGCATTCTGAATCAAGGAATGATATGGTCTACTGTGCCAGGAATTAAAGAAGAATGGTGTCACATTCATCTTGAAAAAGAACATTTCAAGATCTATCCTGATATACAGCTGTTAGGATAGGATAATATCCATAGGCTGAAAGGAAATAAGACAATTATTCAAATTTATACACCAACCTCTAATGCCAAAGATAAAGAAACGGAAGATTTTTACCAACTTCTGCAGTCTGAAATTGGTCAAACATGCATTCAAGATGCATTGATAATTACTGATGATTGGAATGAAAAAGTTGGAGACAAAGAAAGAGGATCAATAGTTGGAAAATATGGTCTTATGATATGATAGAAATGACACCAGATATCACAGGATAGAACTTTGAAGAACCAACGACTTATTAACTGTAAATATCTTTTTATCAACAACATAAATGACAACTAGTGGAACTTGCTGGATGGAATACATATGAATCAGATCAACTACATCTGTGGGAAGAGATGATGGAGATGCTTAATATCATCAGTCATCAGTCAGAACAAGGCCAAGGGCCTGATGTGGAACAGACCACAGACTTGTTCATATGCAAGTTCAAGTTGAAGCTGAAGAAAGTGAAAACAAGTCCATGAGAGCTAAAGTACGACCTTGCGTTTAACCTAAATTTAGAGACCATCTGAATAATAGACTTGATGCATTGAACACTAATGACAGAAATCCAGACAAGTGTGTGGGTCATCATCAAGGACATCATACATGAAGAAAGCAAAAGATTATTAAAAAGACAGGAAAGAAAGAAAAGATCAAAATCCATGTC